CTTAGTGAGACCCTATCTCTAAACAAAATACAAAATAGGGTTGGGGATGTGGCTCAGTGGTCCAGTGCCCTGGGTTCAATCCCTGGAACCCCCCCCCCAAAAAAAACCCCAAACAAACAAAAAAAACCACCAAAACAAAAAACCAACAATAACAACAAAAAACCAATGGAAAAAATGTGGGCTGGGGTTGGGGTTGTGGCTCATCGGGAGAGCTCTGGCCTAGCATGTGCGAGGCGCTGGATTCAATCCTCAGCACCACATAAAAGTAAATAAATAAAATAAAGGTATTGTGTCTTGACTACAACTTAAAACAAAAACAGGGCCGGGATTGTAGCTCAATGGTAGAGTACTCGCCTAGCATGCAAGAGGCACTGGGTTCGATTCTCAGCACCACATAAATGTAAAATAAAGATATTATGTCCACCTAAAACTAAAAAATAAATATTAAAAACAAACAAAAACAAACAAACAACAAAAAAAACCCAAAGCCAAAAAACAACCCAAGGCCTTTGTAGTTTCATCTCATCCAATGAATACCCCCAAATGCCCCAGTGCTCCTGCAACTACCTGAAGGGGAGCAAGCACCATGTTGCTCAAGGAGGCTGAGGCTGCTGCTCTTGCTGCTGCTGTCTTAGAGGGAGGCTCTATGAAGCTCTCAGGTGTGGCTAGCTGGCCAGATGCTGCAGGAAAACTGGGTGCTACTGCACCTTTCCCAAGTGGCTGTGTCTGTATTTGGTCATGCTGTGAAGTCAACCTGAGTTTCTGGAGAAGATCGACGCTTGGAAGGGCTGTGCCAGTTGTGTTCGTTATGCTTAGTGGGGCTCTGAAGGGGCTCTGGCTGGCAATGAGACTGGTGTGGCTTAGCTCAGGGACTGGCTGATGCAGGAGTGGAGACCTCTGTCTAGGTGTGGTCTTCACTGCCTGCATCATGGTGCTGTTTCGAGGTAAGCTGGGGGGAACCTGTGCAGTAGGAGCTTCAGCTGGCAGAGTAGGACTGAGAACAGGGCTTAAGGGGATCGTGTAGCTCGGGGCATGCTTTTCACTGGACTGTGTGATGGAGGCAGGAGTAATTAGCACCGGAGTGGTGACTTCAGGTTGGACTGCGTGATGGGTGGTTGCATGGACACCCAGGTTTTCCAACTGAGGAGTTCCTCCTGGTTGTTCAAAAGAACACGGTAGGAACGAGCTGGGCTCTTTCTGGGAGGTATCTCCTGGCAGCTTCTCCACTTCTTCTGGATCCAGACCCACAACTGCTGGCTGTTCCTTTGGCAAAGAAGTTCCAAATAACTCTTCCACTGTCAGATGTTTGTGTCCAGTTGGAGCAGACTATAAAAAAAACAAATGAAATCACTCAACAAAAGAAACTTTTGGAAATCAGTATTAAGTGAATTTCTTTTCTAGCTACCAAAATAATTTGCAGAAACAAGGACAGACGGATTCTGAAAATAAGGACTGGAACAGACTGAAGGTGTTTTGCAAGTTTGAAGCCAGCCTGGGCAATTTAGTAAGACTCTCAAAAAACAGAAAGGGTTGTGGATGTAGCTCAATGGCAAAGTACTCTTGGGTTCAAATTATCTTTTATTTTTTTGGCAGATGGATATAAGGTGAAAGGGCAATTACCTCAGTTACCTCATTACAAAGCTAACTGTGCTAACTGTACCGAATTGCTCCATATTAGTAACACAGGAAAATGATATCAGAGAGGACAGAGTGAACAAATGCTGATCAAGTGATTAATTTTTACTGTTCTGCACAGAAAGTTAGCACTACATCTTAGGGACAGGGTCCCAAATACTAGAAAATAAACTTAATTATTTAATTGCAGGTCTTTCCTCCTATCTATTCCCAAATCACACAATCCGTAAGAAAAAGCAAAGTACTTAAATCTTGAAAGTTTAACATTTACATATATTTCAGTAAACTGGATTAACTAATAATACAACTGCAACTATTCAAAGGAAAAATACTTATGCATGCCATTGGTGAGCTTTCCTGTACCTTCAAGCAGTATGGCCATATCTGTCCTTTAACTTTTGTTTCCTGAGTACTCACAGGGTGCCAGGTCCTCCTTTGACAAAGACATGTAAAGCAGGGAGTTCCATAGAACATATTTATATTCTAGAGGGAGACACATCTAAATCCTTGGAAAACACAAGCAGCTTCAATTTATAGTTTTACTCCTAAAATATGTGAAGCACTTAGATTTTTATGTTTATACATATATATGTATGCTTATATTGAAAATTTAATCCACAAATACACATGATTTTCAGGGTTTCAGAAAGCCTGGAAGGCCCAGAAATATATTGCATTTGAAGTATCATAGTACTCAGTATATACACACACAGTATATGTTACTTAGCACACAGGATGATATTTAAGGTATCATAGCACTATGGTATGATCTTATTTCTACTGGAAACAAAATCAGTTTTTCCAGGCAAATGTTGCCATCTGATAATTGATGAGTTTAGCAGGTGCCAGGCACTGTGCTGTGACTCTAAGGTAGGGAAAACAGGTAAGCACAACTGGCCACATGGGGAGGGGAGAAAAAAGCACTACTTGGGCTGCACAGTGTCTGAGACACAATGGGGATCTGGACTTTACCCACAGAGCAATGGAATGAGCCACTCAGCTATATGATAGGATGTACATGACGAAGGCCATATAAAGGAAAAACTGGAAGAGTGAGACTGAAGAGAGCCGGACTAAGGTCCTGGCAGAGAAGATGATGAAGACGAAGGAATCTAAATGGAAGGAACCAGTGGCTGAAGAGGAGGCAAGAAGACACCCTGGTATCTTGGTACTGCGTGTAAGAAAAGTCCAGAAAAGTCCCCCAGGTAGAGGGAGGAAAAGCTGAGGTGAATTCTGAATAC